CATTGCTGCCTTTGATATGATGCTAGAGACCCAAGGACCATCTCAGGCAGAGAGACAGAGCATCTTCAGACCCCACTTACCCTGTTCCCAAAGAGTGGCCCCAGAGGCACACAGGGGTGGTGCCACTTCTTGCCTTGGTCCATTCATAGACATAAACTGCGTCTGTGGTGAGTCCCTCCTCTGTGGCCTTACCCGTGGAGTCCCCAAACCCTGGCATGAGAAAATGCAAACACAGTATCATTGCCTATGAGGTATCATCATAAGCCTGCTTATTAAAAAATCTTTGTACAACATTCTAACACATACCTCTGTAGTCAACAGACAAGACATGAAAGCCACCGTCACTCAGCACCTAGATGACAAAGGAGCTGTTAGTACTTTAATTAGAAGATGTAAGCAGAAAAGGCAGTTTGATATTTCCCAACCCTCCCCAACGCATCCGTATCCCTAGTTGTGATAGATTAATAGATGGGGAAAAGGTGTATTTTTGAAATCAGTTGTTTGCTTTCAAACTTGACATCAGACTTGGTAGTAAAGCTAAAAAGCATCATGGCAGAGCTTAAAACAGCCTGGGCCAAGCCCTGGCTCTGCCACATACCAGCTGTGAGTTCTTAGGCAAGTTATTTAACATTTTTTAACATATTAATAAAATCTAAATATTCTGAGAAATTAGAAACAATAATAGCTACATTCAGAGTTGTTGGGAAAATTACATGAGATGATATATGTAAAGTATCTGGCTACACAGTAGGAAGATAATAAATGCCTTTTTAAAGAATTCCCTTGAAAATAAGTACTCTAGACAGAGTAGTATAAACAAAGAACAGTAAAATATATTAAATATGAACATATGAAGAGTTAACATCAATCAAAAATAAAGAAATCACTCAAATATATGAAATCACTGCCAAACCCCTAGTAGATAAAGGCACAATGCTACATGAAATACGTGTATAAACCAAAAACCAAATCCGTTGCCACTGAGTTAATGCCAACTCATAGCAACCTTACAGGACAGAGAAGAACTGCCCCATAGAGTTTCCAAGGAGCGGCTGGTGGATTCAAACTGCCAACCTTTTGGTTAGCAGCCGAATGCTTAACCACTGCGCCACCAGGCCTCTGAAATAATGTATACTGATAGAAGAAGAGAAGAGAGATAAAAGAGGACCAAAATTTACTGAGTAGGCACTTTTAGAACTTGATTTAATCTTCACAATTGTCCTATAAGGTAGGTATTATTCCCGTTTTACAGATAAAGAAACTGAGCCTAGGAAAGTTTAAGTAACCTCTTCAAGTTCACTCAGTTGGTTAGAGGTAGAACCAGGATTCACAGCTGGGTCTGCCTCTGTCTAAACACTGGGTTTCCCCTATTACATCATAGATATAGTTGGCGGAATCTCATTAGGAACGTTTAAATACAAATTGAACTAATAATGAGGAAGGTTTTTGCAATGAAGAAGTCGTTGGTCTTGCAAAATTCTATCATGCAATCTCTGGCATCATTTCTATCACCAAGGCATTGCATTGGGCAAATCTGCTGCAAAAGACCTCTTTAAAGTGTTAAAAAGCAAAGATGTCACCTTGAAGACTAAGGTGTGTGTCATGGATTGAATTGTGTCCCAAAAAAATACGTGTGTCAGTTTGACTAGGCCATGATTCCCAGTATTGTGTGGTTGTCCTCCATTTTGTGATTGATGAAATTTTCCTATGTGTTGTAAATCCTAATCTCTGCCTGTGGTTAATCAGGCAGGATTGGGTTATGCTGAAGAGGATTAGGGTGGGATGTAACCCCTTTCTCAGATCACATCCCTGATCCAATGTAAAGGGAGTTTCCCTGGGGTGTGGCCTGCATCATCTTTTATCTTACAAGAGATAAAAGGAGAGAGAAGCAAGCAGAGAGACGGGGACCACATACCACCAAGAAAGCAGCACTGGGAGCAGAGCGTGTCCTTTGGACCCAGGGTCCCTGCGCCTGAGAAGCTCCTTGACCAGGGGAAGATTGATGACAAGGACCTTCCTCCAGAGCCGACAGAGAGAGAAAGCCTTCCCCTGGAGATGATGCCCTAAATTTGGACTTGTAGCCTACTAGACGGTGAGAAAATAAAGTTCTCTTTGTTGAAGTCAGCCACTTGTGGTATTTCTGTTAAAGCAGCACTAGATAACTAAGACAGCGCGCCTGGCCCAAGCCATGGTATTTTCAATTGCCTCATGTGCATGTGAAAGCCGGACAATGAATAAGAAAGACAGAATTGATGCCTTTGAATTATGGTGCTGGTGAAGAATAGTGAATATACCACGGACTGCCAAAAGAATGAACAAATCTGTCTTGTAAGAAGCACCGCCAGAAAGCTTCTTAGAAGCAAGGATGGTGAGACTATGTCTCACATACTTTGGACATGTTATCAGGAGGGATCAGTCCCTGGAGAAGGACATCATGCTTGGTAAAGTAGAGGGTCAGCGAAAAAGAGGAAGACCCTCAAAGAGATAGATTGACACAGTGGCTGCAACAATGGGCTCAAGCACAAGAATGATTATGAGGATGGCACAGGACTGGGCAGTGTTTCGTTCTATTGTACGTAGGGTCACTATGAGGCAGAACTGACTTGACAGCACCTAACAACAATAATGAGGAAGTACATGGAACTTTTTATACCTATTTAAAGTACACCTCCTCCAAAAATGTTAGCCAAAACACAGTGCAACTAAGCACCAGGGAACTAGGAATATTCATGTGTTGTTCATGGCATCATAGATTGAAGGACCACTTGACAATACAACTTAGAACAACACAGCAGCAATCCTACTCCTAAGAATGCATCTCTAGGGATAAATGCAAATGAAGAAAAAACTAGATGCTTAAAGTTTTTCTGTAGACATACTTTTTTAAATGAATTTTCAAAGAAAGTATAATCAGCAGCAGTGGGATGGTTAAGTAAATAATTCTCTATAAATATAAGGGAAAATGATTCAGCCTTTAAATTGGTAACTGTGATGACTATGGAGCCCTGGTGGCACAGTGTTTAAGAGCTATGGCTGCTAACCAAAAGGTCGGCAGTTCGAATCCACCAGCTGCTCCTTGGAAAAGTCTATGGGGTAGTTCTGCTCTGTTCTATAGAGTTGCTATGAGTCGGAATCGACTTGACGGCAACAGGTTTTATGATGACTATAAAAACGTGGAAGAATTTTTATAAAATATTAAGTAAAAGAACACAACATAAAAATATAGAGAGATATAATCACAGTAACGTAAAAACTTCATATAAGGAAAAAGATAAAGACTAGGTGAGAATGAAAATAACTGTAGTAGGTGATTGAAATGATGAATGGATGGATGAGAAAAGAAAGGAGGGGGAATTGGAGGGAGAGAAAGAAAGCTAATAACAAAGTTGGAAGGGCTAAGGAAGTTTGGTCATGCTGGGATGTGATAACTATGGCACTTGGTGCCCAGGTACGTGCCTGGAGGAAGAAATCCCGTCATACCAGCCGCTCTCCCTCCCCACCCATCCTAACTACCACAAGGATGATATGGCTACTTTTTACACCTACAACCCTTGTCCTTTCTGGGTACATACAGGGTATACAATTCAGTTTTGTCAAGAGTAGGGGGGAAAAGTGCATGTTCTCACCAACATCCTCTTCACCACCATCCCACGTGGGAAGTTCAAGGAGTGGGGTACAGAGTGGAAAGCAAACCTAACACTCTATAGACATTATCATCCCCAGGCAAAACTGTATCCAGCCCAGCACCACTCCACAGAGGCTGGCTCTGAGAAGGCAGTGATGAGGAGAAGGAAAGAGGAAATAGGATAGAAGCTTCCTGCTTGCCCAAGGAGGGATGAGGGGGAGAATGAAGAAGGTGCTGCCAGGATTCTGAGCCCTGCTAATACTGTTATATAAGGAATGAGCTCTGAGATGGAAGGTAGCATGTGGGAGGAAGGGTCCAGGTCCTGTGGTTGATAATTGAAGAAGCAGCACAGTCACCTGTGGCAGAGATGACCTAATTGGAGCGCGGGAGAAGATAAACATCTTGCCTCACCGGCTCTGAGTCAGATATGACTGAGTGGAAATGCTGCCATCTTCTACACGCTTGGAAATTCAGAGGCTGTCCCAAAAAACTGGAGTCATACCCAGCTTAGAAAGGAGAGCAAAGGGGTGGCAAAAGCTTATATGGGGCTGAAGCCAGAGCTTCAATATCTTTTAAAAGTGGGCCATCTGGGTCTTTATCCTATACCACAGAAAAGGTTGCTTCTTTTAGGAGTGATCATTTCACACTCAGTATACTCTCTGCCCCCACCCCCTACCCCTCAAAAAAGAGCAAGTAGTGTTTTGAACTCCACTAGCAATGAAGATAATCAATTCATGAAAGTGAGACCCAGAGATGTTCACATTTTGTTTTGAAGCCTCATGGTCAATAGAGGAAGAAAAGTCCACTGGTGGAACTTTGGGTCCCAGACACAACAACTTCCCCGCCGCCACCCCCAACCGGTGATGCCCTGGGACCTCTCAGTAGGTTGCCATGCTGAGGACCTGATGAAGATCTATCGCCGTAGCCCAGAATAAACAGATTTATAAAATTAGTGCCTTGAGGCCTCTTCAGACATACCTTTATTAGTTTAAGTCGGTGAGAAGCTGCCCTGTAGAGGAGGTTTAAAAAAAAAAAAAAAAAAAGAGTGAGAATTAGAATTACAGTGACAAATTCAATAAAAAATCACTACAATGCTGCTGGCATCTGATCTCACACCTTTCTTTCTTAGGTTAGAGAAATAACTAACTAGGAGAAAGGGAAATATCTTTTCGTGTCAGAGCCAGCTTGGCTCTGTCAGAGTGAATGATGGATGCTTCCCCATTATTGTAGCATTCCTCTAAAGGAGTCCTGAATGCCCAGGTCCCGCTAATGTTTCTCAACATAAGCATTTCAAGAAATATTGATGATCCATCTCCTTTCACTCCTATACAGCAAAACTTACTTCTAAAAATATCTTTAGAAGCTAAAGGAAAATAAGTTCCAGAAAGTAGTGTTTCAGAACAAGGGATGATGTAGTTAAGTTACACTAAACTAAAATTTGCCTGTGCCCTGTCAGCTCTGCCATTACATACAAGATGAAGTGAAGGAGAGACTCACAGCCATAGAGATACAATAAAAATTTTTCCCCAAAAATGACCATACTGTCCACTCTCTATGTGCCACATTAATGTGAGTTAGAGATGATTCAAAAAATAGAGAATTTTTCAAAACCATTTGCATTTTGTCTTAGAGAAATTTCTTAAGCTTTAGTGGATTGTGAAGCCCTTTGAACATCTGGTTAAAGCTACAGACCCACTTCCCAGGGAAATATACACACACTTCAAATTTTATGTACAATTTTTGGGGGCCCATGGACCTTCTGGGGCTTCCATAGATCCCAAGTTTAGAACCACTGTTTTCGATGCATCAGCAAGACATACATCCTCATTCCCTATCCCCTCCCACTTGGCCTCCCTTCACTCAGTACTGCTGATAGTGAACTGAGACTTCTAGACAGGGAATGAGAGGAAGCTGTGGCAAACTCCAAAGCCAGTAAATCTGGGATAACCAAGGGCAATTGCAGATTCACACATGCATGTAATACAAACATGATTATGTGGTCCACATGATCCTCTGAATAAATAAATTGTAAAACCGTGCCCAAGTTTACACATTCAGAATGCAATGTTGAATTTCACAGGAAATCTCAGCAAATGTGATTCTTGAATAGATACATCAAGAAAATGCCTTGACACCCGCAGTGAGAAATCTGAAAGGGAACTTAGGAAAACAATTCTATTTACTATAGCATCTAAGAGAACAAAATACCTAGGAATAAATCTAACCAGGTATGTGAAGGACTTATACAATGAAAACTATCAAACCCTATTGAAAGAGATTAAAGAAGACTTAAATAAATGGAAAGATGCTCCAGGTTCATGGATTAGAAGACTTAATATTGTTAAGCTGTCACTACCACCCAAAGCAACCTACAGATTCAACACAATCCCGATCAAAATTCCAATGGCCTTCTTTACAGAAATAGAAAAACCA